CTGCCGCCAGCAGGGCTGATGTCTCGACTGCAGCAGGTCGCTGGGAGCTGTGTCCGGGCATCCCCCCGGAGATGGGGACCCCGCGCCGCTCCCGGTCCCGTCCCAGGCACACGCCGCTCGCACGGACACGGGCTGTTTCCTTGGGGCTGGGCAGGGGTTTCTGTGCCCCTGGGGCTCCCGCCGTGCCCAGGGAACCCTTGGAGAAGGGGGAGGTACCATTGGGGCCTGCTGAGCAAGTCCTGCTCCCTCGGCCTCGCCTCAGTTGTTACAGCATCGAACCCCGGTGCCTTCAGCAGCCCGAGGGGGAACTGGAGGTTGTTACTGGTGCCGATACCCGCTGCTGGCGCTGGTGACTTTTGACGTGTGCTTTGGCAGGCAGGGTGACAGGAGGGATGGCTTTGGTCAAGACCATGCATCCCATAACAGAATGCTGGAGTGGAACTCTTCATTAGGGACTGTAGTGACAGGACAAGGGGTGATGGGTTCAAACTTAAACAGGGAAGTTCAGGTTGGATATAAGGAAGAAGCTCTTTACTGTGAGGGTGGTGAGGAGTTGGCACGGAGTGTCCTGAGAAGCAGTGAATGCTCCATCCCTGGCAGTGTTCAAGGCCAGGTTAGACAGCCTTGGGCAACATGGTCTAGTCTGAGGTGTCCCTGCCCATGGCAGGTGGTTGGAACTATATGATATTAAGATCCTTTCCAACCTCAACCATTCTATGAGGGGTTCATGAGCTGGGGGGTATGGTGACCGTTCATGGGCATTTTGACAGGCTGGAGAAGTGAGCTCACAGAAACAGTAAGGAACTGGAAATAATGCAAATGCTGAATCTTTGGGGACACGGACTGGGTTGGGCTGGAAGGAACCCTAAAGCTCATCCAGTTCCACCCCCCTGCCACGGGCAGGGACACCTTCCACTAGAGCAGGTTGCTCCAAGCCCTGTTCAGCCTGGCCTTGAAGAAGCACACCTGCAAGAAGAAGGTGACCTGGAGGTCTTATAAGCCAGTTCTCACTCGTGTTAGCAAGGATGTAGCCAGTAGGTAAAGGGAAGGGAACACCTCATTTGTGGCACCACATCCAAAATGCCCTGGCCAGTCTGTGTCCTCTCTTGTGAGAGATTTAGAGACAAAGTGGAGTAAGCCCATGGAGGCCCTGGCCATGCAGGGTAGAGGCCAATGCACAGGAGAGGCTGCAGGAGCTGGGCTTGCTCAGCCAGAGACAAGGAGGCAAAGGGGGATCCAATGGCATTTCTCCCTGCTCAAAGGGATCCTGGAGATGCTGGGGCCAGACTGCTCAGAGGAGCACAGTGAGGGCCACAGAGGCACCGGCATGGGCTGCAACAGAGGAAACACCAGTTGGCTATTAGGAGAAGGTGTTTCCACGTGAGGATCAGGGCCCCAGGTGGTGGTGGAATCTCAATCTTTAGAGACATTTAAGCTTGGAGTGGAGAAAGCCCTGCACAGTGTGTTCTAATTTGACTCGGTTTTGGTTGGAGCCTTGCGCTGGGGCTTGCAGAGATCTTTTCCAGCCTAAATGATTCAGTGATTTTGGTAAACCAAATGTTTCTCCATATGCTTGGTATTCTGCATCTGTATAGAGTGTTACATTAAACTCCGTACTTGCACAGTGCCTCAGTCAGACTCTTAGTTCTGCAGCCAGTATTTCAGTAAATGTGCAGAATTTGGTGCTTGCCTATTAACAAAATGGGCAACAATATAGAATATAAAGACCCCTAAACTTGGAAAAACTGCATTTGAGTGACTTCAGAAGCAGCAGCATGGGCAGGCTGCTGGAGCCAGCAGTTCCAGCTGTGTCTGCACTCTGTCAGTACAAAACCAGCACTTTTTAATGATGACTCAGTGACTTTTCCACCACCAGTGTGATTTTGAGACTGAAAAATCTTCTGGCTCACCTCCGTTATCACTGGGGTTTGTACCAGTATAGTTAAATCAGGCATGATAAGAGATACCTCTGATTTTTTTGCACAAATTGCAAATGAAATGTATTCCTTTGTTCCAGTCAAGTCTTGTAGCATATCCTGTAGGCTCATCATGTAGTCAGGAAACGTTCGTGTGGGTATGTTTTCATTTGCAGCAGCAAAATAAAGTGGCACCTTCTCCCACATTGCTCGTAGCCTCAGGTGGGAGTATGAGCGAGTTCCGCATTCACCATGATGTCAATGAGTTGCTCAGCCTGCTGCATGTTCATGGAGGGGAAGGAGCTGAAGTCTACATTGATCTTCTGCAGAAGAATCGAACACCGTACGTTACCACAGCTGTCTCTGCACACAGTGTGAAGGTAAGTGTTGGTGCACTGTAGTCACAGCCAAGATGCATTTCAGACCTTACCAGCTGGCAGCGGGACTCCTGAGGCAGCATGTTTCCTTTGCAGTCCTTGATAGAGGTTCCATCAGCTTTGAGAGCACACTCCTCCCTAAAGAGAAATTCAAGATATAGATTCCTGTGTTCAGCCTGAAGAAGAGAAGGCTTTAGGGAGACCTTAGAGCAGCTCCAGTGCCTAAAGGGGCTATAAGAAACCTGGAGAGGGGCTTTGGACAAGGGCCTGTAGGGACAGGACAAGGGGGAATGGCTTTAACCTGCCAGAGGGGAGATTGAGATGAGCTCTTAGGCAGAAGCTCTTCCCTGTGAGGGCGCTGAGGCGCTGGCACACAGTGCCCAGAGAAGCTGTGGCTGCCCCATCCCTGGCATTGTTCAAGGCCAGGTTGGACAGAGGGGCTTGGAGCAACCTGGTCTAGTGGAAGGTGTCCCTGCCCGTGGCCAGGGGTTGGAACTGGATGAGCTTTAAGGCCCCTTCCAAGCCAAACCAGTCTGGGATTCTATGATGTTCTATGATTTCTCTTGGCCTGTGGTGTGAACTACCTTTTCCTTACTCTACTTTCCTCTGAGATAACTTGACTCTGTGTTTGTGGAGCTGGACACATGTTGGGGATGGATAATGGCCATCCCAAGTTTTTTGAAGAATAATGGTGAAATCTTGTTGGCATGGATATAAAAACAAGGAATCTCTCATCTATTGTGGAATCTCAATTTGGAGTATAAAGATCATATAAGGGAAAAAGAAAAATCCTTGCATATTGGAGAGATGGGTGGAAGAACGTAAGAAGGAGTGTTAGAATTGGGATGGGGAGGGAGGGAGCTTATTTTTTGCCTGCGGTGGCTGTTTCAAATTTTAAAGGGGTTGTCCTTTGGAGGAGTCAAACAAATGAGAAAGGGTAACTGTATGAAATATGCTGATATGAACAATGCCTGACTTTTCTTCTGAATATCCCCAAGCATTAGGGATTAAAACCTGATACTCTCATGACCAGGCATACTTCTGTAGCCATAATACTTCTTTTCAATGTTGTTTTAAAAAGCAATCCATCAGTCAAGATCTGAGTTGCTAATTTTGTCTGAAAGTTCAGATCTTTGTAGCCTGAACTTCCTGTTTTCTCTAATTCCAGTCTCATGCATCATTTACACTGACAGTTACAGTTCACAGACTCATAGAAAGATTTAAGTATGAGGCACAGCCAGAGACCTGCAGTCCATCCCATTGTTCCCAGCAGGGCCAGCATCACAGGTACAGCAGACTGCTTAGCTGCATTTTGAAGATCTCCAGGAGATTCCTGCATCTCTCTGGCCATGTCCCAGCGTCACCACTCCCTCCAGAAAGGACTGTTTCCCTAGGGTCAGCTGGGATTTTCTGTGTCACAGCTTGTGACAGTGCCTGTGGTGCTTTTGCTGTGCCCCTTAGAGCAGGATCTGTAACCCTTCATGGACAACAGGCAGTACACCCTACCATCTCTATGGCTCTGCATTGGGCTCAGTCTGGTTTGTTGATGTCTTTCTTGCTAGGGGAGCCCCCAAAGTGGACCCAGTGGCTTCATCAGTGCCAAATTCCTTAATAAACCTGCTGATACAAAATTATATTGCTTCAAACTGAGTATGTGCAAAGTGAGCCCTGCTGCAGATCTTGTTCTTGCCTTCATCTTTTCTCTCCTGCAGTCCCTTCTCTATCACCTGAAGTGCCAGGACCCCCATTCTTCTCCAGCATAATTATTAGTAGGAGACCAGTGCTGCAGCATTCAGTCCAAAACCCATTCCCTGAAGTACTTTGGTAGCAACCACAGCCTGCACCTTGTTGTCTTCCTCCTTGCACAATGTTTGTCTCTTGAATGCTGTACTAATAATATACATTTAATATTTATTATTTATGTGGTGTTTTACAGGTAAAAATAGCAGAGTTCTCTCGAACTCCTGAAGATTTTTTGAAGAAGTATGATGAGCTGAAATCTAAAAATACAAGACATCTTGATTCTTTAGTTTATCTACTGTCAAAACTCACAGAAGACAAAGAGGTTTGTTTCTCCTTTAGAATTGGATGTGTTAAAATTATCGTACAGTATCAGCAATGCAATGATTTTAAGTACAGCAGGCTTTCTGATGATAATGCTCAGCAGAGAAATCAATAGATAACCAGTTCTAGATCTACTGAATTGTTAAAGCACTGTTGAGAATTGCACTAATATTGGTATAAACCACTGAGACATGGAAAACTCGGACAGAAAGAGCTGTGGTCTGATTCAGCACAACCATCTTACGGTCGTATGTTTTTTTTGCTTCAGCGTGTGCTGACCAGCATTCACCAAATCTTTTCTTTTTACATGTACGTACAGACACTCCAGTATTTGCAACAAAATGCTAAAGAAAGGGCAGAACTTGCAGCAAATGCAGCAACCAGTGGCAGCACAAATTTTTCCATTCCCTCATCTACTTCCAAGATATCTCTGCAGGAGCTTGAGGAGCTACGCAAGCAGCTGGGCAGTGTCACAGCCAACTCCAGTGTACAGCAGGTACTGTCTCTTCCCAAGCTCTGAGCACAAAATCTTTCCCTTCTGCTCATACATATAGCTGTGCTCTTCACTTTTACCATCTAGTGGAATTATAAATGTTCCTATCTGTGCAGTTGATCTAAACTATCTCTCAAAATTTATTATCCAGATTATATTAAATCTTTGTGCTGTTCTTAATAAAAGTGGCTTTATTCTATTTAAGTCAGTTAAGGTAAGTCAAGTTTAAGCCATGACAGTTGTAACTGTTGGGGGTTCATGTAATTTCATTTTCCCATTTCAAGCAACCACTTTAAGTTGTGCTGATGTTTCATTTTCTGCCTGTGGCAGTGCTTGATCAGGAGCACTATGAGGTGAGGTGCTGGCATGGGGTGCCCAGAGAAGCTGTGGCTGCCTCATCCCTGGCAGTGTTCAAGGCCAGGTTGGACACAGGGGCTTGGAGCAACCTGCTCTAGTGGAAGGTGTCCCTGCTCATGGCAGGGGGTTGGGACTGGATGAGCTTTAAGGTCCCTTCCAACCCAAACTATTCTATGACTCTATGATCTGATTTCATTTTGACAATTGGAAGTAGGAATTGCTTCACATCTCTGAATTTCCAAGGTGTAACTTTCATATAGTCTATCTCACTGAACTATCTCTGTGCTATAGTTCTGTCTTTCATTCACCTGTGCTGTTGATATCTGGCTCTGTTAGGTTGTATGATCTCCTGTACTTACCTCAATGCCTTGGAAGCTTTTGGGCTTAGATACTTTTTTAGTTTGTGCTCTCATAAGTGTGCATAGTTCGTGGAGGTGGTGAGGTCCATTGGAGCTTTTATTCCATCTCATTCCCTGCCATTTAGGAAGATGTAATGGTGGCTGCCCTTCTAAGCAGAAGCTTGTTCATACAGCCATGTTGTATAGAGCCAGTGCTAGAGGGAGATTTTCCATTCCAGTCTTCTTTAATGATCTAGAGCTCAAGTTGATACAGAAAATGCACACAATGTTTTGATCTTTTAGCCAATATCTGTGTATCCAGATTGTGACAGACAAGTAAACTGTTCTATACTACTTTAAGAGAGGAGTATTTTCTCACTGTATGGGTTTAAGATTTGTAAAGGAGTTCAGGTTGTTTACCTCTTTGAAAGACTCAATCCTACACTGAGATCTGCGGTTTTATGTGAAGTTTAGTCATCTTTTGAATTGGTGGCAGCTTACTTGATGCTTCATCCTATCCTATACCCTCCTATGAGAGTCCTGTTTCTGTTAGGGGAGCAGAGGAAATTCAAGTCTTCTAGCAGATCTTGCATACACGGCATAAATAGGAAGGTAGTGTTGCTTTAGGGTGCCTCTCTGACCTGGGGAGATTGTCTTGGTGTTATCGCAGCAAATATGCCCAAAACAGGAACTACTTGGAGGAGTGGCCCCACAGCTTGTTTGAATGCTTGTGATTGCTGCTTTCTGTGGTGAATTTCAAGACTGGGCAACTCTGAGAATATGAAAGATAGCCAGGGCCAGCTAATGGTGTGCATCAGCTACCTCTCACATGTAAGAGTGCCATTCTCTTTAAGATGCAAAGTTCACACGTATGTTTGTTTCCTGCCAGGTTCCTCT